GGTTTCCATTACCCTCTACTGAATCCTCTGCCATTTTGTATTGTGCTCTTCCTGTAGTTGAAAACTTATCTGATACATTGCCCAATCTTTTTTCAGGGTCTTCAATCTTTAACATGTTTCCAATTATCAAACTATCAAATTTATTTAAAGTTAGAAATTGGGCTGACCTCGTTTTCACAACTTAATCGTGTTGTCAGGGTGACTTAATTGGACGCATCTTGTCTGAAGTTCCTAGCTATAGTGGTCATCATAATTCCCAGGGTCGGACCGTGGACTTGAAGAACTAAATGTTTATGTCTTTCCTATTTACTTTTCTTTTCTCTCTCTATATATTTTTTTTAAATTAATTTATTCATATGAATTTCTTATATTAATCTAACTTTCTTACTTTGAACTACCTCATAGGAAAATCATTCTCTCTGTTCTGGGAGTATTCAACTTACCTTGAACCGCTGATTCGATATATGCTCGGCGATTGCGAAGCAGACAAGCATCTGGTCATTATGCTGAGAATAGTTCAGCTCAATGCTTTCCTTTTGGTACCTACAGCCACTGGTACCTTCGGCTTCACCGTTGCCAACTGCATTGACGTCTTGCGAAAGTGGCCTGCAGACCAGCTGACCCGCCAGCACCGTCTGATAAGAGTCCAGATTCATAAAACACATGGCCACTGGCATGCTGACAGGAGCCTGACAGACGCGACAGGTTGCCACCACAAGCTCTTGGTCGTAATGCAACTGTGGCGGAGGCGAGAAGTCAAGTTGAGCACTGGGCTGTGTCTGGTAGTCGACTCCGGACTCAGGACTCTCGTCGCAGATCTCGGCTCGCAACAGATTTGCGTCCATAAGGGAGCTGTACCAACGCTTCTCGGTATGCACCAAGTTGCAGTTTTCCTCGTGTCTTGCCAGTTGCGTGATATTGAAACCGGAAAATGTCATTCGTGTCTGGGCCATTCGCTCATGGCTAGTTAAAACATGCACCTGGAATGGTTGAATATTGTGTAACATTCAACTTTCATTAATTTTCATCTCTTTAGATCAGCCTTTTACTTTGCCCTCTTTCCTTATAAAACTCGATAAATCACCAGAGGCCAAGTTAAAATTTTACAGATTGGGCATTAAGGAAATTAAAAATTATCCGGAATCGATGCATCTCGAAGAAAAATAGTTATCGGATAAAACAGCGACTAC